ATTTTTGTTTTGACCTTTTGGGCAAGAGGATAGCAGAATGGCCACAGCCTTTCCACACACCCCTTATGTTAATGCAAGTAACAGCATCGTTCATTTTATTCACAGAATAGCAAGTTTACAGAATATTTAATAACCAGACAATTTTGGATTAAAATAACAGATCCTGGGGGTCGAATCCATTCTCCCATAAACCAGAGCTCCTTGGAAAAGTGGGAATTCCAGGGCAGCATGAGGAACATTTGTGGTGCCAGGAGGTGAGGCCATGCTTGAGGTGAAGGACACGGAGCCAACCTGAGGGACCTGCAGTGGCTCAGAGTGAGTCAGCCTGGTAACAGGTTCCTGGTGGTGATGGGCTGTCACCAGACTGGAGCAGGATCCCCAAGTCCACACTGATGGAGACCAAGTAAGTGGGGGAAGGGACAGTTCTTCCCGACAGAATCTAATTAATAAACGGGATGAGGGAACGAGTGACCGTCAGGCAGACAGCTGCTGACGTGGGCCCGGTGTCACTGCCTCCCCAGGAAATTACCGCCAAGGGAACCTAGGGTACCGTGGATCTGACCCCAACATCTCTGTGTTCTTGACAAGATGTATAACTGTAGGTTAGTCATGAGAAAATATCAAGCCATCCCAAATTGGGGGAGGTTCTACAAAATAACTGTCTGAGGTCAAGGTCATGAGGAAATGAGGATCTGTTAGAGATTGAAAGATACGGAGTGGGCTCCCCCGGTGGCGCGGTGGGTCAGAATCCGCCTGCCACTGCAGGGGACACGGGTTCGAGCCCTGGTCCGGGAAGATCCCACACGCTGCGGAACAACTAAGCCCGTGCGCCACAACTACTGAAGCCCGCGCTCCTAGAGCCCACGCTCCGCAACAAGAGAAGCCACCGCAATGAGAAACCTGCGCGCAGCAATGAAGACCCAACACAGCCAAAAAAAAAAAAAAAATTCCAAGATGCGGCAATGAAATGCATCGTGGATCCCGGGCGAGAAAAAGACAACTGGGAAAACAAACACGAAGGTTTGTGGATGAGCTACAAGTACTGTGGGGTGACTTCACGCGCTTTACGTGGTGTTAATTAAACCTGGGTGATGGGTGAAGGGCAGGCAGGAACTCTACAATTTTTGCAACTGATTTAAAATTATTTCCAAATAAAATGTTACAAAAGTAAGATAAATAAACAATATCTTTTCACTCAGATAGCATCCCTGGACCGGCAGGGAATGCCCCCCAGTCTGGCTCCTGCATCCTCGTGGTACTGGATGTTTCCTCCCAACGGGGGGAGATGGCCAGGACCACCGTGCGGTGGACAGAGCGAAATGCAGGTGTAGACAGGTCGCTACCTTGTGTGCAAAAACGGGGGGAGGGGAATATGTCATGTTCGTGTTTGAATAAGAAAAAGTGTGGCCCAAGACGAGACTGACGAGTCACCGATACCACCAGGCTCGGCGGAAGGGCAACACTTCGCTACCGTCCTTTTAAAGAGTTCTGAAATTTGTACAGGTGTTACCAGTTTAATACTTAAAGTAAGAAAAAACATTTATCAGAAAGAAAAGAAATAATAGTATTGGCAAGGATATGGAGAAAAGAGAACGCTCACGCACCGTTGGTGGGAATGTAAATTGGTGCAGCCACTATGGAAAAGAGGATGGAGGTTCCTCAAAAAATTAAAAGTTGAACTGGCATGTGATCCAGCAATTTCACTTCTGGGTATTTATCCAACGAATGAAAACACTACTTTGAAAAGATACATGCACACCAATGTTCATAGCAGCACTATTTACAATTGGCAGGATATGGAAACCACCCAGGTGTCCATTGGTGGGTGTGTGGATAAAGAAGACGTGGTACATATACAACAGAGCATCGCTCAGCAATAAAAAGAATGGAGCCTTGCCATTTCAGACAGTGTGGATGGACTTGAGAGTATCATGCTGTGAGTCCAAGACAAATGCCATATGATCTCACTTATGTGTGGAATCTAGAAAAACAAAGCCAATCTTGTAGCTAGAGATTGGTGTTTGCCAGAGGCAGGTGTGAGTGTGTGTGTGTGTAAGTATGTGTATTTATGTGTGTGCTTATGTGTGTTTGTGTGGGGGGGGAGGGAGAGGGAGAGAGAGAGAGAGAGAAGGGAGGTAAAAAGGTACAAACTTCCAGTTACGAAATAAGTCCTGGAGATGTACAGCACGGTGACTATAGTTAGTAACTATCACATATTGGAAAGTTGCTAGGAGAGACCGTGAAAGTTCTCATCACAAGAAAAAAAACTTCCTGTGTGGTGACAGAAGTTACCTAGACTCACTGTGGTGGTCACTTCACAACATATACAAATACTGAATCATTATGTTGTACACCTTAAACTCATATAGTTGTGTCAGTTACACCTCAAAAAAGAAAACCAAAAACAACCTAACAACATTTCTCATAAGAACTGTAGATTTACACTGCATTCAGATAATTAGATTTTAGAAAACAAATTTTCCCTGAAAGTTAGTTCTTGGAATAACAAATTAACTTCCCATCCTTACAGAACACACATCTTTTTTTTTTTTTTAATTATTTTATTTTTGGCTGTGTTGGGTCCTTGTTGCTGCGCATGGGCTTTCTTTTAGTTGCGGCGAGCAGGGGCTCCTCTTCGTTGCAGTGCGCGGGCTTCTCATTGCGGTGGCTTCTTGTTGCAGAGCATGGGCTCTAGGTGCGCGGGCTTCAGTAGTTGTGGCGCGCGGGCTCAGTAGCTGTGCTCACAGGCTCTAGCAGGCTCAGCAGTTGTGGTACACGGACTCAGTAGTTGTGGCTCGTGGGCTCTAGAGCGCAGGTTCAGTAGCTGTGGTGCACGGACTTAGTTGCTCCGCGGCATGCGGGATCTTCCCGGACCAGGGCTCGAACCCATGACCCCTGCATTGGCAGGTGGATTCTTAACCACTGTGCCACCAGGGAAGTCCCTGGAACACACATCTTTTAAAGATGTCCCAAGATGTACAAAGATAATTTACTACTACTAAACTCTGGGGCAAACAAGTGAATCACCTCAGGACACACAGTAAACCCCACAGAGCAGCCTGGTGAGGATGGGCCTCCACAACCAGCACCACAGGAGCCGGGGGCCCGCCTGGAGCCCTGGCTTCGGCCAAGGTCCCGTGTCCTGCCTGGGGGGCCAGGGACCCTGTAGATGTGCTCAGGATGCAGACTCACCCAAGGTTCCGGTTGCTGGCATCACCGTCCGGAGGGTGAGCAGGGAAATGGGACCAGCAAGTCCTCTCAGTCACTCACCGGGCGCTGACAGGGTCGCAGGAGATTGTGGGCCCCAGCCCCAGGCCTCACTCTTCAGATGTGGGGCAGCTGAGGGAAGCCTTCCCGGGACGGGCTCTGCGGGTCCTGGGGGGGGCGCAGAGGCGGGGGTCAGGCTGGGCTGCGGCTGTCACCTTGGATGCTTCAGGACCCCCCAACCCCCCAGCCGGGACTCCTGTGATCTCAGCTGCCCGTTCCCCATCCCCCGTCCCGCCGCCGTGACTCTGCCCCTCGCGGGACTCAGCTGGTGGCATGAAGGGAGGGGCTGCCGGTCCAGAGGGGCGACAGCTGAGCAGAGCGCCTGAGGTCTCCAATTCCCCCTTCCGCGTGATGTCAGGGCCGCCACGGTTCCTAAGAGATCACGGTGGCGCTCCATCCCCCGGCTCACCAGCTCTCCACCAAGGGCTCGGGTGGGACACGGACCCCGGTGACGCCACGCTGTGGCGTGTCCGTCCGGCGAGCACCGCTGGGTTGGTTCTGGGGAGCCCGGTACAGGAGGGCTGTCACCAGCCCCGTGGGACGCACCGGTCAGGCCCCACCCGACCCCCCGCTGTCCCCGCCCTAACCACACCCCCGTGGAGAAGCCCTGGCGGGGTGGGCCCCGTGTGGCATCCCCTCCCTCCCTCTCTGGTCCCCCCAGCACCTGTGGAAGCTTCTCCCGGCACAGCACCCAGGGGGCAGTTCCTGATGGGAGGACTGTCCCCCGCCGCCCCATCATGACCCCGGGGCAGCACCGGGTCTCAGACCGGGACTTGGCGCGCGGAGCGCCGTCCTCCCCATGAGGGGCGCGGCCCTGCCCGCCCCGGCTCGGTCTGCGCACCCGCCTCTGCCCGCGGGCAACGGACACGCTCAGAAGAAAAAGCCTCAGCGCCAATCCTGGACCCCCTTCGACAAAAGCGTGCAGACAGTTCCTCCTCAGACGGCCACGCAGCACCAGAGCCCTGGGCTCGGCCCGCGGGGCCTGGACCCCACCGCGCTGACCAGGGGACAGTCTGGGCCGGCTCCCAGCTGTGAGGCCACGGCTACTCAGCTCCACGGGGGAGGGAGTTTGCTGCTCGTCCTGCGAACACCCACGACTGGGGGACGGTTTAAAATCAGACTCTGAGTCCTGTCCTGTACTGGCTTCTAGAACCGCCACTGTTCTTTAAAAAGTGCACGTCTAAATGCACACACGAGTAAAGCGTCCAACCCAGGCCATCAACCGAGACAGCGTTAAAGCTTCAGGACAAGCAGGAGCACAGAATTCTAAGGAACGATGAAAACTCACAGGATTACCTTTCAGGAACAAATAGAATTTCTCTAGCTTTCTCTAGCTTTCAACGGGAGAAAAGGCGTAAGCTTTGTAAGAACAAGAAAAACAACAGATATTTTTTAAACAAGGAATATAAAAGAAATAAACGTCAAGTCTGAAACCCATAGGATTTTCACCTCATCAGGAGGGGAAAAAGGCTTAAATGGAATCAGAAGTGTCTAACGGAAAAGAACACGGAAGAAATTGCTAGACACCTCTTAAATTACACGTTTCTCAAGAGCATCTCTGAGAAGCGTGTGCCTGACTCGGGGGAGAAGAACCCACAGACACAGGGACCCCCGCCCGGCCGGTGGCAGCCACCACGCATGCGCCTTCTGCCTGGGGCCGTCTGAGAGGCAGAAGGCTGGTTTCCTGTTTGGTAGGAAATACGTCTTAAAGATGGAAAAACGTCGTAAAAAAATCTGGTAAAACATCTGAAATTTATTAAACTTTTTGGTCAAAATAGTTGAACAAGTAAATACAACCCCATCTTACTAGAACTGCTTTACCTTAAGGGCCAGGGTTGACTGATACTTAGACAACTCTGTTCCACATCTCAGGTTTGTGAACTGCGTCAACCAATACGCAGTAATAGAATTACCTTTAAATTAAAATAAATGGACTTGTTGATTCTCTATTTCCGACGTAATGTGAGCTAACGTGGCATCCTGTTAACATTAATTCAGGGGAATGAGTTGACAAGACATTTGTTCTTGCATCTCCATATCACCAGTAACCAAAATACACCTTAATTTCAAGAGCAGCACGTGAGCCCCAGCTGTCCCGTCCCCTGGAGGACTGGGTCTCGGGCTCCTGTGTGAAATTTCACGGCAGCAAGCGCCAATCACTTAGTGTTGTTACCTCTGTATTTTTTTGTCTTGGGAAATCTTGATTTCCGATATCAACCTACTTTTAAAGTAAACCACCAAGGTACTGGTGGCATTACATAATAATTAAAATTGTTTAATTTTTGCTGGCTTGAAATGCAGTGAAATTCGTCATGCATATAATTCCAGCAGTTTTTAGAAGCCTGTTACCCTCTTCCCACGAAGTACTGTTACAAAGGTTTAAAAAGCACGTAAGTGTTCAACTGCAGTGAATTTGAGGCATACTTTAAACCACGTGTTACTTTTTCAGCAGCGATTCTGTTACTACTCCTTGGGATTTTCTTTCTCAGCGGCAGCTGCAGTTAAGGCTCTTTCCAGACCTTACCTGGTGTGTCAGATGTACCATTTCTACAGAAACAAAAAAGTTATGGAAGTTTGTGGATACATACGTTCAGAGTTTGAAGTACTGCACACGTTCCACCATTCTGTTAACGAAGGACAAAAGATTTTTAAAGTTGAATTCTGCATAATTTCATTATATGCAATTAAATCAAATAAAAAGATGATACTGATTTTGGACTTAAAAACACTTTTTAGAGTGTGTTGCTTTTATTAGGCGGTTACACCAGAGGCGCGATGGGAGTAAAGCGGCCTGAGCCCGCTCGGCCGAATCTCCGCGCCGGCCGAGGCCCCGCCTGGGCTGAGAGAGGCCGAGGGAAGGCGGGCAGCAGCCACGCACGTGGAGGCCCCAGGATGACAGCAGAGGAGGAGGAGAGCTCGACAGGAGCAGACACTGAATCTGACAGCTTTCCTCTTGGATGTTAACTTTTGGTCTATAAATTGGAAGGAAGGCTCAGACTTCAATAAATATGTTTATTTTAGCAATGGCCTCTTCTGAGTCCCGTCCATCACTCTGCTTCGAGCGGGCTTCTCACCTGAGCAGCGACACCCAGGGCTCACCTTGCTGAAGCAGAAGCCCGCGGGCACCCGCGCGGCCAGCCCGTGCAGTCTGGGCGGAGGCAGGAGGGCGTCCCTGCTCTTCACAGAGAGGATGTCGCCTGTCCTCTGGCACCAAACGAGCAGGCGCGATTCTGCACGAGACGCAGGTCCCGCTGCCTCCTTAGTTGGCCTTGTCCTGGAATATGTACAGGTTATTGGTGGCAGCCACGGCAATGATGTTCTCCACTGGGTGCCAGGCTGTGTGCAGAATCTTCTTGCTGAAGTCCAGGCTGTCCACGCTCACCTCGTCCTTCTTTCTCTTCCCACCTGCACACACTCTGCGAGGCTTCAAGCTGGCGCGAGGCTTGCTGTTCTCCCTGGAAGCTTCCAGCGTAACATCCCTCCATGTAGTCCTATCGAACATTCTGAAGAAGTTGTTGTAGGACCCAGTCATGATTGCACTGCTCAAAACAAGGACAGGAAGACTTCTAAGTGACCACCTCCAACCCCCAGCCCGGCCCGGCCCTGGACGCATGGATAGAGCTGCTTACCTCTCCTACCCCCAATTCTACACAGCAGGGTCATTTTTACAAATAAAAAATGAAAAATCATAATGGTCAGGAGAGAGATGCAGTGAGAATTTCTTCCTAAACTTCGTATACGTAATCCTATCAGTAAAAATAAATACAACGGAAAAAAGTAATGGATTTACACTTTTAATTACATTAACGTGTTTTCAAACAAGGTAAAAACCCCAACACAGTCACTGCCCCAGGCTCGGGTAACGGTCTGACCTCCTGCACTTTGCCCCGATTCGGCAGGGCTCCACACGTGCTCGAGAGACGTTCGTGAGATCTGTTACCATCTTTGCTCACGACTGACCAGACAAGGTTTTAAAGTTCATTTTAATCTTAAAAGCGTTTTTCTCGTGAAGGAACAGGTATATAAATAGTTAGGAGGGGCCTCAGACACGGGGTCAGCGTGCAAGAGAGCCGGGGCCTTCTTTGCCGACGCTCCAGATGCTGCAGCAGCGCCCGTGGTCTTTTCCCTTCCGGGCTGGTTCTGACGCCTTTCCGCGTCTCCACTGAAGCACACAGCACCGTGACGCGCTTCTGTCACACTGGTGAAAACTTCGGGTCTCTCTACACAGCTAAGAGGAGAGTGGCTGGTTGCCGGCAAATGCTTCCACGTGCGTCCAGCCCCTGCCTCAGCGGGCCCGTCGGGCGCGGTAAGACCAGACTGCCCTGCGGCCTCCCCCTGGGCACCCTGGGCTCCCGGGCCATCCCCGCATCATCAGGGGCGGATCTTGAGGCCCCGCGAGGCGCGTGCTGCCTCATTCACACGGCGCAGGGCTGACCCCGACTGTGCAAATCCTCATCTAAATCCTCGCACCACAAAAAAAGATAAGCTCTCCTGGCTTATCTCACCTGTACTGTTGAAACCTGGAGTGCACACACCTCAGGGACGGAGGGGCCCGTGTGGCGGTGGACGCAGCAGGGCCGTGCAGTGGGGCCCAGGAGGGCTGCCAGCAACTGGCACCTGCCCACATTAATTTCCACACAGAACACGATGTTCACAAAAGGATAAGCAACAAATGTGCTGATCTGAAGCTTACATTTGTGTTATTAAACTTAACCGCAGGGACTTCCCTGGTGGCGCAGTGGTTGGGAGTCCACCTGCCAAGGCAGGGGACACGGGTTCGAGCCCTGGTCCAGGAAGATCCCACATGCCGTGGAGCAACTAAGCCCGTGCACCACAACTACTGAAGCCCGCGCTCTAGAGCCTGCAAGCCTGCGCCTCAGAGCCCGTGCGCCACAACTACTGAAGCCCGCGTGCCTAGAGCCCATGCTCTGCAACAACAGAAGCCACCGCAACAAGAAGCCCGTGCATCGCAAGGAAGAGTAGCCCCTGCTCGCTGCAACTAGAAAGCCTGCGCACAGCGACAAAGACCCAACACAGCCAAAAAATATATGTGTGTGTATATATATATATATATATATATATATATATATATATATATATAAACTTAACTGCAGTGATTATTCCGAACAGAGACCAATGAAAGAATTTTTTCGGGAAGGAGTATTTTATCATCAATGTTGATTAGAGGTGCTGGTGCGCGACAGAAATGAAAGCGGACCAACCTTCACGCCGTCCATTACGATTATTACTATTATTCAGCAGTCCTGACGGCACCTGCATGGGCGTGGATGTCCCCCTGGCCCGCTGCTCCACACGGCGGGAATGAGAGCCTTCCCCAGCACCTGGCCAGGTGCTGCCTAGGCGGGAACACCGCCAAACACAGGAGTAAGTGGACTTGCAACTTAATGGTGATGCCTGTGTTTGCTACAAACCTGGAGCACGATGAAGTGGGGCAAAACTTAACTTCTGGGCAGCGCCGTCCCAGGCGGAGTGACTGGGATGGTGGCAGAAACCTGGCTCTGCCCCCGCCCCCAACTCCACACAAGCTTCCAGGCAGGAAGGCAGGGCATGTTGGCAGGAGTGAGGGAACAGGTAGGCGCCACCAGAAAGCTTCAGGATGTGCCGGGGATGGTAATTTAAACGTATTTTGCAATATCTCAGATCTACCACAAAGCATAAAGAACCGTGCAGGGAACATTCCTATACATGGTTGTCCTTTGAGCAGTTACACGGTCTTAAAAACAAAACCGTCTTGCATGCTCTAGACATCAGATGAGTCACTTGTGTGATCGCGTACAGGTCTGCGCAGCTGTAACCCTGGCTTTCACTGTGTCTGGTCCACACCATGAACAGAGGATGATTCCTCGTCCGTCCGCCCGCCCAGGGAGGAACCCCGACATGGCTCAGCTGCCTCCAGGGCACGTCTTGGAACGTGTTTTCTTGTGTGTATATTCGAGAGGTTCCCAGCCCACCCGGCCACTCCCAGGGAGCCTCAGAAGAAGGGCAGTGGCAGTGGTCATGCCCCCTGGCCTCCACCTCCACCCCAACATTTCCGTCACTGATGGATGTGAAGGGACGTCCCTGTTGCTTTGATCTGCTGATTACTAATGAGGATGTGTTGTTATTCATTCCCCCCGTTTCTGTTAATTCCCATTCATGAGCAGTTAGGACCTCCTCACTGACTTACGGTTCTTCACGTATTCTGGATATTCATCTGTTAATTTTACGTGCTTTTGTGGGTTTTATTTCCATTGTTTTATTATGCTATAAAGAAGCTTGAAGCCAACGCAGCTGGGTCTCTGTCTGGGTTTGGGGCCTTGTTTAAGGCACATTCCTGCATGATCATTTATCTCTGGATACAATTTCAGGAAGCGAGTCAGAAGGGGTCACGACACACCGCATCAGAGCGCCTTCCGGCTTCCACTGCCGGGCCGAGAGGTCTGCTCGCGGTCTGAACACCCTTTCTCCGAAGGCAATGGGTCTTTTCTCCCCTGGCTGCTTTTAAGATCTTTTCTTTGTTTTTGGTGCCCTGTAACCTCATTATGATCTGGATGTGGATTTCTGTGCTTCTTGAATCTGTGTATTCATTCAGTCTTGCATCAGTTATAGAAAATTCCTGGCCATTAACACTTTAACTGCTACTTCTCCACAATCCTCCAATTTGGACACTTCTCTCCACTTAGGTCATGTTGGACCTTATCTGACCCTCCGTGTTTTCCAACCTTCCATGTTTTTTCTGTCTCTTTGGCTCTCTGAGCTGCATCCTGGATAATCTCTCCTGATCTTTCTTCTTAAAATATTTCTCATCTTCAGTTCACTAATTCAAGATCTTTTCAGCTTCACGGGGTCTGCTAAATTCACACAGTGATTTTTCAACGACTACAGTTTTCATTTCTAGAAGTCCTGCATGATGCTTTTCCAGATGTCCTGGGTGGTTTTCAATGGCCTTGTGGTTCCATGTTCAGGTTCCGGTTCCGTCCTTTCACCTGTGAGTATTTCCACATTCTCATCTTATATTCTGTGGCATATGATCTCAGTACCTGATTTCTCAGAGGTCACAGTTCTGTGGCTGTTTCTGCTGGCTTGCTCACACTGGCTTTCCTTCATGTGTTCGGTGCTTTTCACCTGTGAGCTCCTGTTTAAGTGATTTTAATCTGGGGAAATCCTGAGCCCTGGAGCACTGGGAAAGACAAATCCGCCACGGGTGCCAGGCACCCCTACGTGTTTTCAGTGCGTTTGCCAAGAATGCGTTTCTTCAGCGCTCTCTCCCTGGGCCACATCTCAGGGCTGCAGCCTTGTTTACCACTCTCAGCTTGACCCCCAAGCTGGGTGTGTGCTGGTGTGAGGCCAACCCCGCTCCGTGAGCGGCCTCTGCCCGGGCCCCCTGTGTCACCCCCCCAGGCACTGTGACCAAGCTCGTGCTGCTCTGCTGTGCTGTGAGGAGTGAGGTCCTCTCCTCTGACCCAGGGGCCCTGTGTCTGCAGCAAGAGACACTAACAGGTGGCACGTCAGCCTGTGAACAGTGCGGATGCCCGGGGCTGCCTGTCTGCTGGGACTTACCCTCAGTGAGCTTCTCCAGGTCAGTACAAATACAAACACACGTCCCTGGCGGGGAGGGAGGCTCATGGTCACAAAGGTCAGGGGACTTCATCCACTCCAATCCAAGGTCTCAGACAGATACATTTCCCTTGGGACGCATCTGAACGTAGATGGATGCCCTTTCCATAACCCCGAGGGTCCCAGTTTCAACTGCCAACCCTGTGTGGGTCCAGGGCCACAGCTCTTGTACCCTCCTGGGCTGCAGGTTCCTGGTTCCAGCTGGTGCCCTGAGGCCAGCGAGGGCTCCCTCCTAGTTCCTGCTTCCTCTTCACTCCTGGCCTTACTGGTTGTGAGCTCAACTATACCCACAAAGAGATTTGTGGTGTGACATCTGATGTTTCTAGGTGTTTGTGCCAAAGGGTTTCTCAGAATGTCCGTCAGTCCGTCTCTGAAAGTGGCGAGGTCCTCTGCTCACTGACACCCTTGACAAGCAGCACACGGCACAGAATCCATCACAGACGATGCAAGCTCATCTCCTTCCATCACGTGAGGTGCGACATTTCGTAGAATATGAAACAGACCTCTCGGCAGCACTAGTACTGCTGTCGCCTCTAGGACACGCACAAAAAGGTGGCGGAGGCCTCAAACCGCCTCATCACGAGGTAGACCGCGGAGTCACACCAGCCACCCCCACTCTGTCCAAGCACAGCAGCGACTCTGAGGTCTCGTCCTCCACTTGTCCCCAAAGGCAAACTGGAACGTGGCCATCCCACACACGCCACAGTAACTAACCTCCCCACCGCCTTCCTTTCACTCATCTTGGAAATAACAACAAAAAAAGAAATTATCATCCACTAAGCGTTTTAAAAACAGCCAACATGAACCTTGTACTACGCTTGCTGTTTAAATACAAGGTGGAATCATAAGCAAGGTGAGAAGTGTGTCCAGACATCCCATGTTTCCCACCTTGCTAGGGCCACCTCACAGATGGCCTGGAAAACCAAGCCCATCGGGACTCCTCCTGGCAGCCCGGCCCGCCTCTGAAGACATCAGCGTGCTTCGGGCCTGGTCACGACGCAGGTCTCACCTGTCGGAGCCGTTCCAGCAGCACTCAAACTTGTCAAAGATGCAGTCATTTTCGTACAGGGAACACAGCTTGCTTCGAAGGTACTCGTGGACCTTAATGAAAGTACAGGAAGGTCAGAGGGACGGTTGCGTGCAAGACGTGGCAGGGTCCATGCCGCGGCCTCACCTGGTGGGTCTCGACAGGCCGGCTCTCCATGTTGAGGTCCCACACCTTCACCGACAGGTAGTCTCGGGTCATCATGTACCGACCGCTGTGGCTGAATTTCACGTCGGACACAGAAGAGATTATTTCTGAGAAGAAGGACCTACTGCTGGGGTCTTCCGGCTCTTCAAAAACTGGAAAATACAATGTTTTCAGCTTCTGTTTAAAAACCAGAGAACAAATCATTTTAAAGTCCAAGCGAGACTCGGGCCCTCCCCTGACACCGCTGCGGCCTCCCATCTTCCTGAAGCGCGGGCCCCAGGCTCACCCAGGCCTGGGCTTGCAACCCAGAACGCTGCTCGGGCACTCTGAGTGCATCCTGGTGAGGCCTCTGCATCAACCTGACGCTTCCCTGCAGATCCTCGAATGCCAGTCCCTAGCAAACCCCGTCCCATCCTGTCCCTGGCACAGAAAGACACAAAGGGCGCTACAGCAGACGCCGACACGGTGCCCCGAGCGCCCTGGGGCGACGAGCCTGCGAGTGCGCTGCAGGGCCCGGCCCTTAGCCGCGAACGCCTGGGTCAGATTTTAACACCGGAACAGTCCCATCTGCCAAAGCCTGTCAGGAAAGGGGTTTTCCTTCACTATTCAACAGTCGAGACTTAGGCTAACAAAACCGAACTACTAGTTTCAGAAAGATTCTACAGGCGTCCATGGCAGACCTTTCTTTCCCTGACACTTCTGCTTTCTCAGCAGTAACTCGAGTGCCCCCTCACTCGCCCCCTGCCCATGCGCCAGACCCCAGAGCCCCCAGTGCACTGTCGAGCCTGTGGCTTGGTGAACTTTGGGTGAGGATTTCTGTACTTCCTTTCATTTGCAGCGGCTTGTGATTTTCTTTTTTTGTTTTTGTTTTTTGTTTTTTTCTCTTTTATTGCGGTACGCGGGCCTCTCACTGTTGTGGCCTCTCCCGTTGCGGAGCACAGGCTCCGGACGCGCAGGCTCAGCGGCCATGGCTCACGGGCCCAGCCGCTCCGCGGCACGTGGGACCTTCCCGGACCGGGGCACGAACCCGCGTCCCCTGCATCGGCAGGCGGACTCTCAACCACTGCGCCACCAGGGAAGCCCTGATTTTCTTTTTTTAATGTAGGAACCTATGTTTGTTGAGTCTGCATTTGAAGTTGATTATAAGCAAGCTGGTGGCAATACTCTGAGCATTTACTCAAATAAGTAAGTTTGCTGACAAATAAAACTACTCTTGGAATCTAAAATTGTTACTCACGAGTGTTCTCTTGAAAACATAGGCCAGACGTTAGAAAAGACTCATTTTTCATTGCAGGAATTCTACTGAAGTACAAAGTTCTTTTAAAACACACTATAGGGGCTTCCCTGGTGGTGCAGTGGTTGAGAATCCGCCTGCCAATGCAGGGGACATGGGTTTGAGCCCTGGTCCATGAAGATCCCACATGCCGCGGAGCAACTAGGCCTGTGCGCCACAACTGCTGAGCCTGTGCTCTAGAGCCCACGTGCTGCAACGACTGAAGTCCGCGGGCCTAGAGCCCGTGCTCCGCAACAGGAGAAGCCACCGCTGTGAGAGGCCTGCACACACAACGGAGAGTGGCCCCTGCTCGCCGCAACTAAAGAAGGCCTGCAAGCAGCAAACACGACCCAACACAGCCAAAAATAAATAATTAAAATAAATAAATTTATTTAAAAAACTCCAAAAAACAAAGAAACACACTATAGTGGACTTCCCTGGCAGGCCAGTGGTTAAGACTCTGTGCTTCCACTGCAAGGGGCACGGGTTCGATCCCAGACTGGGGAAGATCCCACATACCACGCAGTGTGGCCAAAAAAAAAAAAAAAAAAAAAAAAACACAAAAAGAAAACCACAAACCCCAAAAACCAAAAAAATAAAACTGCAAGAAAACCCCCCTCCCCCCCTCCCCCTATACTTTAGCCTCAAAAAGAGACAGAATGAGGCAAAAAGGCTCCTAAGAGCCAGTCATCCAGGACACTTCCCATCAGGCTCTGTTGGAGCTGCCCCACTTTACGACAGGAGACACTCTGGACAGACTGACCGATACACTGACTTAGCTGCAGGACCAAGTGTCCAGAACACGAAAACCCATGGCGCTCCAGGCTGGGATGGCGTCACTGCTCAGTACTTGGGAACGTGTTGGCAAAGTTCTCAGGACACACTCTGTATGTCTTGTGACACACAGACTTCTGGTTTTCTACAAAGTAGGGCCTGTTGGTTATGGCTAAAAATAAAAACAAAACCAAAGCTCTCCTCACCTAGAAGGACTTCAAGACTCAGTGGATTAAAGACTAGACTTTCACCTCAGGGAACTGCCTTCAAGTTCAGCGAAGCTCTGTGGGAACAGAGCCCATTCCGAGAGCCGAGAAAGGTCACAGGTGGACTGCGTCTCCAGCCTCAGCAGAGGTCCTAGTGCACAGAGGTGGAGGCGACAAGGGGCTCTCACTGGGCCCACCCAGGGAGGCGGACGCTGCATGGAAGTGCTGGCAGGAGTGACCTGCGGGCTCCACCGCGGCGCCACAAAAGCAGGGCCTCTCGCTCCGCACCCCGCCAGCAGCGCTGCGAGGACCAAGGCCGGCCTATGCTCGCGCAGGCACATGCGTAACAAAGAGCGCCTCTAAGTCTTCGGGGGCGGCTCAGCGCCCAGACAACACGGGCTCTAGACGGGACGTTTATGTACACGCCCGGCACTTACACTTGGAGTGGCGGTCGCACAGGGCGGAGGAGCGCATGTCGCACAGTCTGATGGTCCCCTTGCTGCTGCTGTAGACGAGCACGTTACACTGGTGCGGGTGGAACTCGGCCGCTGTGATCACCTCTGTCAGCTCTTCCATGTTGGCAGGCTTGATGTCCACGATGTCTGAAGCACACAGTTAAGGCAGGGCGCTCGCAGGCATGAGATAACCCACGTGACGAGGTTTAAGAGATTAGGTGTGGAGGAGGCGATTACAGTACTGTATGCCGGGCGAGCACACCAGTAAGAGGATCTACGTTAATACCCTAATCAGACTCCAGTAACGTGCCTGACAGGGGCCACGGCCACGCAGATACGAGGGCTGCTTTCATCTCGCTGCTACTGCTAGCATTCTAGGAAGGGACTTTCAGAGCAACATAACACACGTTAAAAGATAAGGAAGCAAGCAAGTGCCCATCTGCACAGAAGTCCCATAGTAGCATCCACAAAATGACACAGACACACGAGCACTGCCAGGTTCCACAAGATTCTGCTTTGCTAAGTATCTGACACCAAGAGCTTGCCCTAAGTAGGCAGAACGACGTCACATGCTAGGTTGCCAAATACAGAACTCACTCAACTGGAGAAACAAGAAAGTGTACAATTTGGCTTTGGGCCAAGATAGGATAGCAGGAACAGATGACAACTAAGGAAGCTAAAAAACTTGGTGACACTACAGCTCAAGTCTCCAGACACCACACACCGTGGGCAGGGACCCTGGAGGGACTGGAGCCCTACAGTGCCCAGCACGCCGTCATGGCTGTCTCCAGGCCGCCGTGCAGAGCGGGGACCAGGCTGAGCCCGCTGACCGCCTGGAGTCCGGGGAAGCACACGAGGCACGCAGGGCCGGGTGCCGGAGAAGAGTGGCCAACAGGCTCTGGAGGGCCGGTCAGCAAAGGCCTGTGAGGACACTGCCCAGCTGGGGAAGGAGCCACGCCCAGAGATGAGAGAACGGCACCCCAGCTCATGCGAGAGCTCGCCAAAGAGCAAAGCTGGGCTGAAAGTGAAGTGGGAGGGGAGGAGCCACGAGGGCACCAACTAACTGGCCCCTGTGAGTGGATCCAAGGTGTTTTTAAAGTGCTAACAGATAGGGGCTGCCCTGGTGGCGCAGTGGTTAAGAATCCGCCTGCCAAAGCAGGGGACGTCCCACAGGTTTGAGCCCTGGTCCAGGAAGATCCCACACGCCGTGGTGCAACTAAGCCCGTGCGCCATGACTACTGAGTCTGTGCTCCAGAGCCCACGAGCCACAGCTACTGAAGCCCGTGTGCCTTGAGCCCGTGCTCCGCAACGAGAAGGCACCGCACTGCAACGAAGAGTAGCCCCCGCTTGCCCCAACTAGAGAAAGCCCCTGTGCAGCAACGGAGACCCAACGCAGCAAAAAATAAAAAAAAAAAACCAAAAAAACATTATATATATATGTATATATATAAAAGTGCTAACAGATAGCAGAAAGCACGTGCCTGTTTCTGTGCTGTGTGATCTCAGTTGCAATGAAGGGCATTTGAAGCATGACGGTGGGACAAAATCTTTAAGAAAACCACGAAAGATACAACTGCATAAATGAACCCTTCATGAATTAGAGTCCTCACAAATCACTGAGAGAAAATGTGAGCTTCTGACAGGAGAAAAAAATGACAAAGGACAGACTCTGAGACAAAGGGGTGTAATGAACATGAGATGACCTATCCAAGAACGATCCTATAAAAATGCTGCGACATCCACCCGACGAAGGATACTAAAACTTCTGTCTGTGATTTCTAAATGCCATAGATTAATTCTCAGGTCATCTGCAGAAAGATACGTTTCATGATCACTATTTACTGAAATGGAATTTATATGATATGTGTGAGCATTTGCAAAAACTCGTCGTGGACTTGCTTCTACCATGAGGTCCATGGGCTTCAATATTGGGACCTAAAAATGGAAGGAAATAGGAATTCAAAACAAAGATCCCAGCAGCAGAAAATCAGAACACTTACAGTAGGTAACAAAAAGGAACAAATGTGTGCGCACGGTTAAGTAACAGCAGGTACAGACAATACCCCCAATAAGCAATAGCTTCTGGCTGCTCGGTAAGCAGATGGCCCCTGACACTGATGCCTGATGTGGGGCCTGAGTTGAGCCCCCCTTCCTCCTCTGGCCTCGCAGCCGCGGCCTCCAGAGTGAGAGCAGGCGCATCTCCTCGTCCCCCCACGCCCCCCGCGCCCTCAACAGGGCTGGGCAGGTGGGGTGCAGGGACTGGGCGGGGGGAGCATGCCTCTCCTGACCTGGTGCCCGCGACGCGGTACATCCAGCCCACAGATGGCAGCGGAGCTGCTCACTTAGATGGCAGAGGCATGTTGGGTACGTACGTTATACTTCAATAAAACGTTTTTTAAAAAAGGCACAGAAACCCCGACTGTGATGAGTGCTGTGGCCAGGAAGGCTCCCAGGGAAGGGGACGTCCACACAGAAAGGGAAAGGGAGGAGAGGTCAGCCGGGCCAAGGACGAGAGAGAGAGCCGGCACAAGAGTGGCCAAAGCCAAAGGCACAGTCGTGGGTGACGGTGTCACACGTGCGAAAAAAAGGAAAAAGGCCCAGCATCACTGACATCTAGTGGGGAGGAAAACAGAAGCTTTAAAATCAAAATAGAAAACTAAAGTGTGCTATTTTTTAAATTAAAAACCCAAGGAGTGTACCTAGAAAGGGTAGGAGAGAATCTCTTAATTGAGTTTTCTCCAGCCAAAATGCTGTAAAAATGAACTTGGGGAAACATGTATAAAAATACTCCCCTCATTTTAAACCAGCCAAGTGCTGAGCACACGCTTCCCTCCTCTTGTGCAGGAGCTGTTGGTTCCACAAGGGACAGGACAGACCTGTCATGCCCTCTAACAAGTCTCTAATTAATCAAAACGCGAAACAACTGTAATATGGGTAACAGAAGGAGCCCCTTTCTGGCACCCAAATAATTTAAGAGGAGAACAAAATTTCTGTTCCCCTTTCAAAATTTTGTTTTCCTCTTAAAGTTCAAAGGAGTCCATGAACTCACAAAGGTAAATCCACATACAGAGTGACCTGGCCTGCGATCTCTCCCCCACCGCAGCCCACCCTGCAACTGTAATGACCTCACACCTGTCACATGCTTCGCCATGGCCACGGACGAGACCAGCTTGGTTAGGCTAATTGTAGAACAGCAGCCTTGACCAGAGTGAAGACTGGGCCTCAGAAGCCCTTACAGACTTCCCACAGCTGGGACGGATGTGAGCATCACAGTGGAGAAGCAGGCCTGGCTGGGAGGCAGGGGGCTCCCTGGAGAGGGGGAGCGTGTCGGGCCGGGTGCAGGGGAGAGGCGGCCGAGACAGGGGATTCAGGTGCACCCACAGGGCACCCCAGGCCTCATCCTTCCAGCGCACTTAGTTTCCAAGGAGCAGTTTACATGGTGGTAACTGTAAAACTAGTGTTACTGTCACCAACAGTGATCTGCCTACAAACTGTCACTAATTCACGGGTGGGAAAGCAGCAGCATGGCACAGAGAAACCACCATTTGGATCAGAACATCTTGGTTCAAAGTAGGGTTTAGATTTGAGCAAATTACACAGCTTTCTTGGCCTCAACTCCCTGGAAACAGGGCAATACCACTGACCTACAAGTTCCCACCCCGCCCTTCGCCTTGGCAGTGCTTACCTGTTACACCCTGTGCTCCTGTCGGGAGCACCCCTGCACGCTGGGCTGCGACTCCGTGCTGCGCGCCTGCTGCCCCAGCACCTGCGTGCGCGCGGCCAGCAGAGCACGGGGAAAGAGACCGAAACCCACCACACACACCCTGGCCGGGGCCCTGCAGGGAGTGGGATGGGGAGCTTCCTGCAATTCCGTGCCCTCCTCTGTAGCTCCTCAGCTACCAATACAATGTGTCCACCCACTAGGTCTTCACCTGATAGATCGCACTTCCACAAAGGTTTTAAACCTCTCTGAAAAACCAACCAACTGGCCAACAGCTTTCTAATGAACCAGGCGGTCGGTTCAGGGAGCGCCTCTAAGTCACCGCTGGTCTCCGCTGTGGCCCGGCCCATCGGCAGCACCCTGGGGTCTTAACCAGGGCGCATCTGGGCAGGATTCAGGCTTGTTTAATCTCCTTCTCATACTCCCTTTAATTAAAGGCACCACCCCAGGACACTCTATTTTAAGTTGTACTCAATTTCATAGATGTTAAAATGTGAAAAAAATCGAGGTATTAGAATTGATAAAACACAGTCATTTCATACTGTACCTAGGGGCACCAAAGAGGGAGTGAAGAATTTATTTTAAAAAAAGAAAAAGAAGAAGTAATGCTGCTCATGGATTGATGGGCAAAGAATTCTGGTCAGAATCTGCCTTAGCTAACTCAGAGGAAATCCAGTGAAGGCCATCCTGCTGGTCCACAGGTCATCTCTCAATCTGCAACCCGCGCTGCTTCCTCCAGGGAAGTGTGCCGAGTTCCATCTGCTCCAACCCCACCAATGTGCTACTCTGAACCTTCAGAGTGAAAGGCAGTGGATGTTTTTAGAAAGATTTCTTATGGAATTAAACCAGAGTCTTTTCTTTAGTAGTAGTATATTTTCTGAAGATGTGTGACTTTTTTGTTTTCGTGAGAATACAAGGACTCCCATTTTAACAAGTATACATAAAAATGATTACAAATAACTTTCAAGATCAAGAAGACAGATCCCACAGTATTTCTATTTAACAGTATTTTCTAAACAGCTGACTTAAGCATCATTACTGATTAATTTATGACAAGTATCGGCTAGTTGAAAGAAAATGTGACGTATACCCGTAGTGCCGTGATTCTAAGTGGATCTCGAAGTCGTCCATCTTCATCTTTTAAGTTATAGCCTTCTGCTCTTTTATCCCGTTCACTTATTTTCCATAATTTAATAGTTTTATCTGAAAATAAAAACCTCATTCTCCATATTAAAAGAAAAACCATATATCATGCACCACTATTAGTTGAGTATCATACAAGAAAACTCTGTGGTTCTATGCTGGTTTAGAAGCTAGGAGTATTTGAACATTAGTACTTCCAGTTGTATATGAACATTTTGTTTCCTACAATAAGTAAAGATGTAGAAACGTCTGCAGAGTTGAGAAATGTAATACTGCGAGTGTGTGTGTGTTTGCGTACTTTGAGTTTTCAACCTGAGTTTTCTTCCTGCCTACCTAATGCTTTACCCTCCCCCAAAGTTTAAAGCAGAGGTAGCCTCTAGAAGGGCTAAAATCAAAAAGAATCTACACACAGAAAATTAAAAACCCAGCCTTAACGCAAAGGGCCGCATAAGGAGAAAAGCTCTTACCGTTTGTAGAGAGCAGAAAACGAGCAGCGCCCTGTTGTGGTAGCCACCTAATCTTATTAATTTTTTCTTCTATTTCTAGACTCTTCAAATAGTCAAACTCTGGTTCGTGACTTTGAAAGGTACTGTAAACGTTATATTCCCCCCTGGAATGAGGGCGGCTTTTATTCTGCAAGGAAACATGAAGCCATTTTAATGAACAAAGTACAGTGCAGAGAAACTTCAGTTCTCCCAATGTGAATATCAAATGACCACACACATTTTTAAAAGTTAATAAAAATCCTGGGTCAAAAAAATGTCAAACAGATGACGCTCAGAATTACTTTACTTGGAAGAAACAAATAAGAGAGCTGACTCCGCAGCTTCCTCTTGCACTTCCGGGCATCTGCTCTAGGGCAGGGTGTGGAGTCGAGCTTCCCTGCCAGTACACTGGCTCTGGCTGCCTCTGTGCTACCGCTACCGGGGCAGCTCTGAGAGAGGCTGAAGGGCCCACAGAGGCGGCAGCGGTTGCCATCTGGCCCCGTGGAGAGTCAGCTGGGCCGGCCCAAGCCCTCCAGGGCTGAGCCACGGGGACGCACACTTCCCCGTCACCTGGGACAGCCAGCAGCACACAGCTGCGCCGCCAGGGAAGGGGACTGCCAATCGGCAGAGTCACAAACGAGCAGTTACGGCAAAGGAGCCACGGAGGGCAAATCCTGCAGCACGTGTAAGAGAAGCAAGCTGTGCAAACACACCCACAGGAAGATCCTCTTATGAAAAACGTCAACACACACGACAATTCTACACGTTGCAGTAAAAACAAAAGGACAAGCTATGGCCAACTCGGGGGAGGCAGAGGGATAATAAAATAGGATGTGGAAGTAACATGGAAAGACAGAATGGGGGAGGGGCACAGCGTGTGCTTCACCTACACGCCCAGGGTTTCCTTTTCTAAAGGAATAAAAGCCCGAGTGGTGGGTTCATAAGTATATTTATATTAATCCCTGAAATCTTCTGCATGTCCAAAATGACATTTTCTATGAAATAGTAAATATTTCATAATTAAAACTCAAGGAGACCAGTATTTTAATTCTTGTTCTATAACCAGTATCTAAAATCTTACATTTTTAACACATTAGTGTGTGTGTCAAGTAAATTGAACTAAACAAATAACCTTCACGTCTAGATAGATACCCCTTTACGTTTCTGAAGCAAGATCATGTATTATGAGAAAAATCCCCCCAAACTCCCTCCATCTCTCTACCGCGCTGCCCCTTGCGATCAAGCGATCCTCAGCAGGACCGTGGAAATCCCTGCCCCGTGTCCCACGGGTGTGCTGGACTACAGGCTTATGCTATTCACACGACTCTCCTGCTTCGTGGCCCTCACGCTCTCTATGAAAAAGCCTAATACACCAACCGGTACTTCTAACTCTCAAGTGAACAAACCGTGACTGAAATATTTAAAAGGGAAAATCTGTGGAATCGGTCAGTCCCATGCTTCAGACACGAGTCCCATCACAGCGCTGCCCGTCCTTCCCAGGCCACTCTCTCCGGGAACAGCGCCCTGCCTCTAACGCTGCCACTAACTGCCCTGATCTCTGCCCTCAACTCCTGAAACCCAAGGCCCCTGCTAATCCCCCGGCCTTGTCCTCCACCGGAGACCTCGCATCAGCGCCTGAGGGCCTGTCCAGGGAGAGGGAGGGACTCTGAGGAAGGCTGGCAGGGCACAGTGACTGGACTCTCAGCAGGAGAGTGGGGCGGGAGCTGCCGAGACTGCTGGTCCAGCTGCGGGGAGCATGGGGATGACGAGGAGGCGGGCCTCGCTTTGTCTGGGAACATGCTGATTCCCAGTTACAGTTCTGATGTTACTGGACGGACCATGCAGAGGGACGGCATTCTGCAGAGGGGTGGGAGCCACGGAGCCACGTCCACAGACTCTGCTCGCCCCAGATTGACACGCTAGAGTCCCTTGGACAGAGGGCTCCACCACTAACATGGGAAAAAAGTTCGAAAATCACGTTGCCATAGTTTCCGATGGCTCCCTCCTGACTGAACGTCCTGCACCTTCCCCAGCCAAGCAGGGTGCTGCTCTATCCTCCAGGAACCTCTACGCTTCACTGATGCTAAAACACATATTTTGACACCTCTGAAAGCTTACTGCAGTTTCTAATCGAGAGCTGCTGCAGTTTAACAGGCAGCAGCCTCATCCCACTGGTGCTGCAATATCATCAACTGTCTCTTTGATGATGGATGAAGACAGAGTCTTACCCACACTGGAAACACTCCAGTCCACAATGAGGATTATACAGCAACCACTAAAATATCTGAAAGGCAGATGGGATACAAAACCTCTTTTTATATTAACCAAAATACGAAGAAAAAGATGGGGAAAAAAGTTGCCCAGGATTTATGAAGTTACAGTTGGTCGGGCTCATCAAATTTAAACAATTTTAGGGACCTGCTACTGTACAAAACTGTAGCAACATTGACTTAATACATCTTCACTGAACACAATATGATAACTTCTCAAGACTACAATACTTAACACATTTTATAGCAAGATGCTTGAGTTTTATAATCTTTCATATTTGAAGCTAGCATATTTCTAGGTTTACACAATGACCCCCGAAAACAAGAAAAAACTTCATTTTCTAAAAGGACATTATTCAAATGGCAGACTTTACGGAGCTAAAAGTGAACTCTTAAAGTTAAGATAGCTATGGCTAAGTAATCTGTTAAATAATCCTTCTGCTAAAAGTATGATTCAAACACCGCCACCGACTTTTATTTGTTGAAAAGTTCTTTGTAAGTAGCACTGTGATGATCCACCTCCAAGATTATATCTAATTATAAACTTATCATATTGTGAAGATTTAGAAAGATTCATGATAATATATATGATATTCACAAAAGAATTCTCACCATCCCGAACCAGAAAAAATACAATTAAAAAATTTTTAATCAACATTGGAGCTGTAACAGGTATATTTTAACCAGGAGATGTTGTGGGCCCAGGGCTTGCCCCCTACAGACGCCACCAAGTGCCCCTCTGCAGTGCAGGGCTGGCACTCCCCGCCACAAGGAAGGGAGCAAGGGCCCACCCGCCTTGACACCAGAGTTGTTTTACCACAAGAAGTTAGAGGGCAGAATTTGGAGATGAAAAGCAACTGCACGCCTACCAGCTAGGAAGCAGGCAGGAGGGGCGCTCTGTCACGGAACCCCCGGGCCTGGCTGTGCTGAGGCTCCCGCCTGGGGCGCCCGCACAGCAGAGCCTCATCCTGCCTTACTGGGCACTCGGCGAGGCCTGCTCGCCAGAAACGAGAGACGACAGGGGCTGGCAAGGCCTGGCGATAGCTCCCATTCTCCTCTTACGTGTAACTGACAAAGTAGCGCTCCTCTCCCCTTTTCCCCCAGACGGGAAGGACCTAATAGCCAGTGTTCGTGAGTGAGGCTCATCTGTGGCTCCTCCAAGGCCCGTGTTCTGAGGCCCCAGCCCTCGAGGGTGCGGCCAGTGCTGCGGGGCACTCAGAGTGCCTGCACCGGCCAGCAGACCCTGGGGCTGGAGGCCAGCACCTCCATGGCCGGTGAAGGGGTTTCATTTCCTCCGGGATGAGAGCAGACAGATCCAGAACCCCAGCAGCCTACACCCTTCACTTGGTCTGGCCGCCACCTGTGACAACTTGGGGCGGGGAAAGGACTCTCCGCCCGCCCTACAGATGAGGGCACTGGGGGCTTAACTGGGACTTGGGGGCTGTACGTCCGTGAGTGGAAACACAGGTCTTCTCGTTCGCCCCGAGATAATTTCTGAAAGAAGATGCTAAATGGTGAATGTGATATAGTGGAATCAAATGAAATTAGACACTGGGAAAATAACTGTGCTCCCTTCCTTACAAGTGATGTGAGAAGTGCTGGATGATCCCACTTGGTTCGTGGATTGTACATTACTGACCTCTTGTTCCCGCTGGAAAATAACCACTCTGCCGCCCTTGTCTCCTGTTGCAAGAAGGTCTCCAGAGTGACTAAACTCCACAGTCGAGATGACATCAGCTGTCAGACAACAGAAGCAATTTACCAGTTTATGATTCTGAAAGGGGTTGTAATAAATATTAAAAACATCAATAAAAAGGATCAAAAGAAAGGTACACACATAAAATTTCCTCCAAGGATAAAGCAACACTTTCGTGGGAAACTTGTAATTACCAAGCAGCCCCTTCTTGGTTCTGGCGCCCAGAGCCCATGTGGATTTATGGGTCACTGATCCAATGCCTGGTCCCTGGCACACCAGCATTTATCTAGACTGGGTTGTCTTGATATAAGATATAGGGTAGAAATTTAGGAAATTAATTTTGAGAAAAAACAAAAACAGATAAAAGTTGGCTCTAGAAGACTGCTGCCTAACTTTATAATGCATGCCTGAATTACCTTTAAAAATAAACCTGATTCTTACATTACATTAACACGGTGACTGGTTGGCTTCTGTACAAAATAACATTACAGACAGTACCTAGCTTACTGTCTGGGTAAAGTCACTGCCATTGATAACGAGGACATCGTTACCTAGTGAGACACTGCTGGTCAGACACCGAGATTTCTACACCATCAACACCAAGATCTGGACACCAGCTCACAAGGGGTAAAGGCCACAAGGTACAAAAACGAAGTCAAGCCTAGAAAAGTCTCAGGTGTCCTAAGGTTAATACTTCAGGTAGAGGAAACGGATCTGGATTTATGACACAGACTACTGAATCAGAAAGAATATCCCAGGCTGGGCTTTAGGGGAAAACCACTTTCTCCATAGTTCAGATTTGCTGAGCACTAAGAATCAGACAAAGGTACGGGCCTGGTCTCCCAAGGGGCTGCTGTGAGCTTGTTTTCTGACTACAACTGGACGCTTCACCTTAGCTGCCGCAGAAAATCTCCTCTCTGGCTGCTCCGAGGAAGGGATGGACCACTACCGCCCCATCCCCGCTGCCGGGGCCCCAGCTCAAAGGGCATATCCTTCCTACCAGCAACTGAAAATGACCTCTCTAGGGTGCCAGGGCCCCAGCATCGTTAGAGGTCGTTAAGTGTTTACACACAAATAGCACTAAACAGCTGTTATAAACGACCTACATACTAATGAGAAATGGACCGCAAAGTTGAAACTACTTGAAGAATGCTTCCGAAAAGTGGTCATAATATACTGCAATTCTTAAAGGTCTGCAATACATTTTTTTGTTAATATACGATATCCTTCCTGCAAAATAAGTTCTTACTGCATTGGTATGGTTTATTGACACTTAAGAGCACACCGAATTCTACCGCCTGGGATTCTTTTTTTTTTTTTTTCCCCTTAAATCTTCAGTAAGCCTTGGGGAAAGGATTAGGCTTCTTGTTAGAAGTGTCACTTTTTAAATTAAATTACCTGAAATAACCTAATTTGCTTAAGTGAAACTAAAATATTCTGTATTGGACTAAAAGGAACTAAAAATTTATGTCATTTATACCCAGGGGGTGCACAATATAATTAATGGTATTCTAGCTCTGTCAGTGATTTTCTTTCACTCATTCATTCATTCATTTATGGCTGCGTTAGGTCTTCGTTGCTGCACGCGGGCTTTCTCCAGCTGTGGCAAGCAGGGGGCTACTCCGTTGCGCGGGCTTCTCATTGCGGTGGTTTCTCTTCTTGCAGAGCACGGGCTCCAGGCACGTAGGCTTCAGTAGTTGTGGCCTGTGGGCTCTAGAGCGCAGGCTCAGTAGTTGTGGCGCACGGGCTTAGCTGCTCCGCGGCATGTGGGATCTTCCTGGACCAGGGCTCAAACCCATGTCCCCTGCATTGGCAGGAGGATTCTTAACTACGGCGTCACCAGGAAGTCCCTGTCAGTGATTTTCAAACTTCATTAAAATGGAGTGAATCTTTTAAGAAAAACTGCATGACTGCCAGTGGTGAGAAATTATTTTCATTAGGCTACGTAAATAAGTACGAACCTAAAATTAGGAATACCCTCTGCAGAATTTAGAAGAGCTCTAAAATCAAAATAAACAGACAAACTAAATACTAAAATTGCACAACCAATAAAATTTAAATCACCAGCATGAATTTGATGGGTATTACTGATGCCACAGAGTAAATGTGGTCCTGACTGAGGGCACCCAGTTGGGCATTTCAAAAGCACCGCGGGCTGTGCAGTGACTCAATTCTGCCACTTGTTCTGCCCCAGTGCCCCGCGGCTCCTCGCGTGGCAAGAGTACAGTGCCTTCGCGATGGCACAAAGAGCGGCGATGTCGCCCTTTGCTGCAGGGTGGCTGCCTGGAGGATGTGAAAACCATGGAGAAGGCCCAGCAGCCCCTGAGGAGCATCTGAGACTTGCAGTCAAGCGTGGGGGCAGGGCACAGGGGCCCCCCACCCCAAGGCATCAGGAGGATACGGGAAAGGTGTCCTCTGCCAGGCCGCCAGTGTGAGCGGGCTTCCCTAAGCGCCGTGGACGATGCTGGGGGCGTCTACGTGTGCATCCACGGCCTGGGGCAGGCTCCCTGCCAGATGCTGAGCACCGAGATGGCAGGAAGTCTATCTGCTCTGCTGAACTGCTGGGTCCCCAAGCCGGGCCCCGTCCGGTCAGGCAGGAGCACACAGCTACTCCCACTTCTGGTTTCCCAAACGCTGGCTGCCAGGAGTGGATCGTTTCCACAAGGGTTCCTCTCCAAAACACCAAAGCCCGAGAGAAAAGGCCTCGAGATTCAATCACCTGAGGTCCTTAAAGAAATGACCAGCCACAGGAAAGTCCTCCAGCTGAAAAGCCCACCTGCTCACAGACCTGCCTCTCTGCTCCACAGTGGCTCCACTTAAACAAGAACCGAGAGCTCAGGGTCGAAAGACCTGTGAGAGAAAACGTCACAACAAAGAAGGCACACGGAGGGAAGAGGGACGGTGCCCCAACAAAAGACCAGAGAAGCGGCAACTACCGCCGCAGGGAGCTAACCCCTAAGGAGAGCGAGGACGTCAGAATGTGGGCCTAGCGCTTGCTGAGGTGCCAGGTGCTCCTGAGGAACGCACTCGCCTGGACCCACCCAGGGAGCCTCACCACCGCCTGCGGGGCAGGCGCTGGGCACGTTACCTGCATCCCACAGTGCAGGGCGCCAGCACATCCAGCGGGGCCCTTAGAAGACAGCAGCGCCCCGAGAAAGGAAGAACGAGGGAGTGCTCCTGGAGACGCAAGGGGTAATAATAGTAATGTAAAAACTCAAGACCCCTTCCAAAGGGAAAAACAAAAAGACAAAGAAGTGGGCAACAGGAAAGAAAAGATAATGAGAGGATAGGTTTAGGTGGCCCATCACCCAGTTACCAAGTTCCAGAAAGATGATAGAAAAAAGGAAGGGAAACATCATCAAAGGAGTAAGACGAGCGTTCCCTTAAACAGCAGCAAGTACATTCCCAGGCTGACAGGGCACAAGGCGGGCCCAGCACAATGAATGAACAGACTGGCCCAAGGCCCATCTCTCTGAAATGTAAAACACCAAGGATAAAAGGGAGATTCCAAAATTCTCCAGAGGAAACAAACAGGTCACACACAGGAGGCATAGATGGCATCCCACAGGAGGCAGGAGAATGGTGAACAGAAGACCATCTACCCTCAAATTCTGAGAAGAAAAAATTTTCAACCTACAATTCTAAACCTAGCCAAATTTTCAAACAAGTTTGAGGGAGGAGTAGAGGTGTTTTCAAACATGCAAAGAGCAAAAACAACGAAATCCCTTTATCAGGAAACCACTGGAAGATGCAATGTGGCAAACTGACAATAGACCAAGAGGAAGGAAGACGGGGACCGGACACGCCAGCAACGGTGAGGAGGGCCGAGGCCGGAGCCACGAGGCCCGCAGGCCTGGAGGGGACTGCAGCCAGGAGAGGCCATCGGGGAAGGAAAGAAGGGCTCGGGATGATCTGCTGGGTTTGGGTAAAGTCACTGCTAGGTATCTGACAGATCTGCTGAGTGACTGTCTTTTAAAAAAGCACTGAAGACAGAGAACTAAGCATATGAAAAAATTAAGCAATCATTAGCTCTAGACAAAATGAAAAGTTGTATGAAAACGAAAATGTACACTTTAGTTCCGTGATGAACAATATTTACAAAGTCAGCACAATACTGATGTAACCAAGACTCACAAGAGAATTCTCTTAAAGCCTCTCTTTAGGGGAGGAGGGGAGTATGTGTGGGTGGAGGGTGATGTTAGCAAAAAGCCTAATCAATCATCAGTTACCATAACAGGAAGTCAGTACTTACTGTTCAAACTCCGATCAAAAGCCAGCAGTGTCTGACATTTCGCAGAGGCTGCTAAGGATGCTGGCAGGGGGCAGTTGGTAAGGAAAGAGGCACTGGATGTCAGACACCATTTTTACTGCGACACAGGGAGGCAGGGACAAGAAGTGGGGAGGGGGCGGACTCGAAGGGGAAATGTGGTCGCTGGGGTTTTTAAAGGACAGAGGATATAAAGTCATGTCCGTGTGCCATGGGCATGACGTGGCAGCGGAGGCAGAAGCGAGAACAGGGTTACAGGACGAGCAGGCAGGGACAGAGATGCAGAGCGCGAGCGGGGTGGGGGTGGGGCTGCCAGAAGGAAGGAGCAGGGATACCTGCATCTGGGGAGGAGGCCACGGTGCACACGGCACACACATGGCAGGCTGGGAACCTGAGCTTGGGACAATGAGAGCGCGTCCGACTATCTCTTTTTTCTATGAGGTATGAGAGGAGATGCACCTGCTAAGAGTCAGAGGGAGAGGTACAGGCAATCTGGGAGAACATATGAAGGAGGTCTTCTCAGAAAGTCAGGAGTGACCGCACTGGGGAAACGCAGGCCTGTCTCATAGCATCAATGCCCACGTGAGACTTGAGGGCAGTCTTCTAAATCCAGCACACGTCCTGAATGACTGCTATAAGCCGGTGCTGCACAGGCACTGGGGACACAACGAACAAGGCCAAGTCCCTGCCCTCCTGGGATGGACACTTCTGTGAATGAATAATAACCAGCACAGCGCCCGCAGCCGCGTGTTTCCACCCTGCCCGGTGACTCGG